TGAGGGAACAGGAAGGGTGTTCAGCATCAATAAATAACGGCCGTTGTTCATTGTATGGACGAGGGCCGCCGAAAGCAAAGGTCAATAAGTCGGTGTAAGAGCGGTTGTCCCCCAACTGGGGCGGCGCCAGTGAAGACTCCCAGAGACCCATGGCTTAGTAATCGGGAGTGAAGGGGTTGTTTAGAGTAATAATCAGTGTGTTAATCATGGAAATCAAGAAAGGAAAGTTGAGGATCGACGAAAGTAGGAAGCCCAAAGACAGAGGGCATCCTGGGTAATAAATATGTGGATGGCCATATCGCGCTTGAACCGATGTTTTTGTCATACTGGAGACTTCACCAAATGAAAAGACACGAAACAAAGGAGGGAAAAAAAATCCCCTCCAAATCCTCCTGGTGCATGGAGGAATTCCAATTTCCGGGGATGGGGCTGAGAATGACCATGATTTGGAATTTCATTTAGGGCGTGGCGCAAAACCCGACACATCGTCACTTCACTAAGCTAAAGATTCCGCTCAGATCGAGGCGCTGATCTTCTTCCCGCTCCACTGGCACTATGCGCCTCGTCTGTCGAATGAACGTTCGGAACGCCATGATTCAGATCTCGGCCGGTGGGTCCTCTTCATGGCCGACTAGAAAAAAGCAATGAACAAGCGAACAGCATCCGCCATGCAGACGAACTAGGTTCCATGATCACCTGTCTCCATAACTTAATCACCATATTGGGCGGCTTCAGCCCGACGCGATCTTACCAGACCTCCGTTATCCTCCCCCATTGGTCTATCGTCCTGTCATCGCGTAGCAGTCTTCACGGCACTTCCCACAGCTGAGCCACAATGCGAACACCCCCGACTAGCGAAGTGCACTATCGTCTTAAGTCGATGCAGCCCAAGTCTACTTTGGAACCGAGGAATGCCCCTCATGGTTTGATGCCAATGCGCGATCCGTGTTGCATGTCCCCACTCACTAAAGAACCATGCCAGGCTGACGTCCACGACCCGAAATCGGGAAATCCATGCATGAATGGCATTCTCAATGGATCTTCTGCCGTAGATTGGCGGTAAACGCCTGCTGGACCCCCGCCCATCCAGCAGACAGGGAAGTGGATCATGCTATCCATACCCTGGTAATTCCTGGTACGACACCGTTACATTATCTCTGCCTACACTAGTTCGAGACTAATGGGTCTCACCGTAAGGTCTAACGCATTGTTCAGCAAGAAAGGAAGGAATCCGTGCGTCTTGCATGTGCTTGGATCTACCTCTGGACCTGTCAAGCGATCCTCTAGATCCCGCCTTTTGACTCCATCGGATCAGGGTTCCTTCAATAGATCGGCATAGGCATGGACAATGCACTTGCCACATGAGTCCAGATACTCCACTGACCTAAGGCAGAAGCACGAGGCGCTAGCTTGATACTAGAGTCGGACAATCGGGATCCACGAAAAAAGTGGACGGGTTGCATCGGGGATTCCACATCTCTAGACCCGTCGGCTGAACCAGCACTAGACGATTCGTCTAGTAGTACATCCCTAGGTCCGGAACCATAGTTTGATGGAGACGGGCTGTGCGAACTGCCCTTGGGATAACTTCATTGGCCCTTGGATAGTTCAAAGCCCGGAGGGGTAGCGGAAAGTGAAAGGTCATGATGTCGTCTATGGTTGCTCATTGGTAGTAGATCATCGAGTCATAGTGGGACATGATCCCAACCATCGCGTCATTGATACCCACTAAGTTGGAGAGAATGAAGCGAAGGTGGTAAGTGAAGGGTGAAGCTGAATGAAGGGTCATCAGGTGGTGGGGAAGGACATGGTTGTAGTCAAGTGAAGGAATGCGACTATCAAGTGATGGTCGCCTTTGTCTAATGTACGGTCACGCATTAGGCAAGAGAGCAAGAAAAAAAGACGACGCAAGTTGAGGAGGGGAAGCGCCATCATGTGCCCAACTCAAAAGGCTGCAGATGTCCTGCATGAGAGAGCTTCACAACAATCGGATTCATACCGAAGAGTGAATGCATTGTGTTTTTCTGTTGGTACCTTACTTGGTACTTCTTGTCCCTTCTTCACCTGTCAGGCACCCTCTATTCTGACCTCAGATCCCTGTTTCATCCATTGTTCCCATTGATTCATTGATCCATTGATCTATTGATCCATCCATCCCTCTTCCCTACTTGACTTTCACCACCATGTCGCTCTCCGAAAAGAGCGTCATTTCCATCCCCCCGCCAGCCAAATGTGCGTCGGCTTCGACAAGCCCCAGAAGCACCCTGGTGGACGTCGAGACGACCATGCCAAAGTCTATCTCAGAAAAGGCGGATCGTGCTCTGACACAGAGCCCTGATAGCTTTGACCTGGAAGCCCAGGTCCCTAAGAAGAAGCCCTTCTCCTCATCTCGCTTTATCCTCCTCAATATCTACCGCCGTCTCTTTACATTGGTCTTCTGTGCCAACGTGGCTGTCTTTATCTATGTGATGACAGCAGATCGCAAACTACTGGCACTGGTGAACGCAACAGCTGCCAACTTACTCGCATGCGGTCTCGCACGCCAACCTCTGGTGGTAAACGCCATCTTCCTCATTGTATGCTCCATCCCCCGATCCGCTCCCTTGAGACTCCGCCGTATTACAGCAAAAGTCTACCACTACGGCGGAGTCCACAGCGGGTGCGGCGTGGCCTCCTTTATTTGGTATGCGGGCTTCGTGGGCTTGATGTCGAAGGAGTACTGGTCTCCATCGAGTGGCAAGTCCACGATCTCCGTAGCACCGGTCGTTGTGGCCTACGTGATTCTAGTCTTACTTCTCGCCATCATCGTCGTTGCTTACCCTGGGTTTCGGTTCAAGAAACATGACTACTTCGAATTGACACATCGTTTCTCTGGATGGTTGGTGGTGGCACTCTTCGTGGTGCTGCTCATGCTCTTTGTCAATGATTTTAGCCGGGCTGCCCATCAATCATTTGGTCGTTTTCTTATCGAGCTTCCAGCCTTTTGGTTCTTGATGGTGACCGTCGCTGCCATCATCCACCCGTGGCTACTGTTGCGGAAGGTCCCAGTCCAGCCTGAATACCTCTCAAACCATGCAGTGAGACTTCACTTCAACCACACCACCACTACATTTGGCAAGGGCATCCAGCTGGCAAGGCATCCACTGCGCGACTGGCATGGCTTTGCCACCTTCCCAGACCCCGAGGGCAAGACATTCTCAAGCCTCGTTTCCAAAGCCGGGGACTGGACCGCAGCCTGTATCAACGATCAGCCCACCCACCTCTGGAAGCGAGGCGTCCTGATCTATGGGTTTGCATACGCAATGAGGGTATTCAAGCGAGTGGTTGTGGTCACGACCGGATCCGGCATCGGGCCGTGCCTTTCATTCCTGGGCGATGACAACCGACCCAAGCTCCGTGTTGTATGGCAGACTCGCACTCCCCTGAAGACATATGGGCAAGGAGTACTCGACTTGGTCTCCAAAATGGATAACGACCCATATATCATCAACACCAGGGAGTCTGGTCGTATCGATATGGTGCCAATCATTCGCAAGCTCTACAAGGACTTCGATGCGGAAGCTGTATGCGTGATCAGCAATCCTTTCGTGACGAAGAAAGTGGTATACGAGCTCGAGTCCGGGGGCATTCCTGCTTTCGGGCCTATATTCGATTCATGATTTGTTTCTACAAATGTTGTTTTATTGTGTTATTTATTTGTTTTAGTTGTAAAAGCGCGAGGTTTGACACAGTCTGGAACTGTATTGTCTGTACATAGCATTCTTCTGCCTCACATATATTAGATTTCTTAGCAACATGATTTTCTTCGGAGTATTTCTACATCTGATCATAACTGTAAAGCATGGTTCGTAGGCCCTCAGAGTCTATCACCTCCAAACACACAAATCCTTTCTCGACCCTATCTATCCATTAGCCAAATCACCATACCAACTCTTCCAACAGAACACCCCATCCAATTTACCAGACCCAACATCTAAACCACCCAAATACAAACTATAACACAGCAAACCCCCAAGTAAAGAAAAAAAAAAAAAGAATTACACCAACTCACGACCCCAGACCACTTATACCAAGCCCCCCCAACCCAGCTACCATGAAATCCCCTAGACCAAACGCCCACGAACAAAACAAAAACCCGAACCCTCCAAAACCAATCTATCATATTTGCACATTGACGTATGTAGTAAAAACAAGAATCTGAAACCAAAACAAAGGAAGTTAATCCGAGTAAGGTTCCAGGCCGCAAACGGCCCGATGCCCAAACAATGGACATGACGAAAGCGGCGCGGGATGGGTGCTACAGTACCACCTTGGAAATATGTAGTATTTTTTATCTGATTACGCGTATGCCCTGCAGTATGGCCATGGTTGGTGAATATGTGGATTTGGTTAGTTTTTCTTTTTTTGGCATGGTAATTGAGTACCGGTGTTTGGGGGAGTGGTGGTCCCATCCATGGTATCCTGGGATGGGATTCGTGGATGGGCTGATTGGTGGCTTTGCTTTTGGGGATGTCACTAAGCTTAATTTGACTCACCTTGTTTTTTATATGTATCAGTCTATGTATGAGGTAAGGGGTAAAGGAAAGATTGGAATGGAGTTTAGATTATTGTATTGGTTTATTGTAATTATTAGTTAACCATAGGGTATGTGTATCATCTTGAGAAAAAGGAAAGGTATCCATCGGTATAGTATAAAAACGATTAACAAGGTCAAAAACCCTCAGCAGATGACGGGTATCATGAAAAAGGATATCTTCGTCCAGCCTGTAAAGAAACAAACAAACAAAAAAAGAATACAAAAGAAAAACTTTTTTTTCGGCCCTGGTATTTCCCCAAATATGGTCTCTAAGAAAAACAAAACAACAATGTTGATTAAGCGTCCGTTGTTCATGGTGATGTTGAAAGAAATTTGGTATTGGTTTCTCTGAGTTCAGGTTGAGGTCATTCGGTCGTGAGGAATCGTAACGTCGTGAGTGAAAGAAAGGAGCAAAAGAGATGGTCTACTCAGATGCCCGAGAGGCTCGCGAATCGGCGGACGGGGCTCGATTGCGGTTTTGTGGTGTCACAGGTTCGGCGATGAGATCGTCAGTGGTGAATCGAGATCGTCCGCGTGTTGAGAGAATTGAGCGAGCCGACGAGTGAGTAGAGTCGCTATCCAGCCGGAGCGAGTCCATGCGTTCCAATTCTTCGTACTCTGGCAGCGGGAGCGGAGAGCCGTGGTAGTCTTCCATGACACTGCTGGCATCGGGCTTTGTGTAGCCGGGGGGGCTAGCAGGAACATCCTCATACATCGGAGGCATTTCCTCGTCCCAGCTGATGCCGAGACCGCTGCGCTCAGTGACATGCAAGTGGAACTGCATGCGGAGCACACGCGCTGCGCCCGTAGGCGTGATGAGTCTGGTGTTGCGGTTAGGGCAGAATTCCTCGGCGACGATCAACTCGATAACGAGGTTGTGCTTGGCTTCCAGTCCACCGGAGGCCTCAAGATCGCACACAGGGTTGCAGGTGGGGTTGATGCTTGCCTCGAACTGCATGCTAATCTCGCCTCCGGCAGTATCGAAGTCGGTCTTCCAGCCCTCCTTCTCTTCGTTATGTCCGATGATTCGAGTTTCCTGGTGGAGGACGCCCTTGCCCTCACCACCAATCTTGTGCGCATGTTTACCACAGGCCGTGGAAACGATCTTCTGGTGTTCTTCGATACGCCACATCATCTTGCGCAAGCGCCAGCGGGTTTGGGTCTCCTCGCCCTTGTCCACGACTCCGCTCAGAGTCATCTGGACGGGGAACGTACCAATGGGATGAACGACCGAGGGAAGCACAATGCGGCCCGTGAGGTTAGTTGGAGGGAAGATACGGATTGAGGATTTGTCGTTTCCAGGTAGGATAGCGCGCCTGATATGCAAAGGCATCTGGAAGTTGTATTCTTCGCCGGTAATGTTTTGCCCATGGGCAGAGAGGTAGTACTCGATCTTTCCCAGAGATCCATTGCAGGAAGCGGGCAAATGACCGGGGAAGAGGTAGCTGAAAGGGAATTCGTGGTCGCCAGGCTTCAAGTGAAGCGGCTCTGTCAAGAAGTTCCAGTGGTTTAACTCCTCGGTTCTAGAGGCGCAGTTCGGACATTCTCTCGAGACTGGTTTCTTCGTTGTCATTCTGGTCATCAATCTCATGTCGAACTTATCGAGCGTAATGGCTTCAACCATTTCCGAGACAGTGATCTTCAAACGGCCGGAGAATAGCGCACCGGTCGAGTTAGCTGGGCTGCCGTAACAGACAAGTGGTGGCGATTCAACGACAACGTCCAACTTGGCAGTAGCACTAACGCCATGATCGCCTGGACGCTCCTTTGAACCGGATGAACGCCCATGATTGCGGCGCTTCTCCTTGCTGTGATCCCTGTGCGGGTGGATTAGATGATCGACCGCGAAAGACAAACGGCGCTCTGGAGAGCGTGCTCGTTCCAGCACATTTGCAGAAGGCTTCTTGTGGGCCACGGTGTTGGTGGGGATCTCATTAATAGAGGTAGATGAGGAAGAGGTGGAATGCGACGAGAAGGAGGTGTGGTGGTGCACGTGGGGGCGAACAAGGCTGGAAAGGAGGCGGCCGGGCATGATGATTGATGTGCACTTCTAGAGATTCGGTGCCGACCAAATAGATGCAAATAACGAGGAGGATAGGAAGGGTGGCTTCTCTAGTAAGAGAGCTATATAGTCTTGGGAGCGGTAGGTGACTATTGTGCAATTGGAAACAGTAATAGCGAGGTGTACTCGACTAACACTTCAGTATGCCCGTCTAGGTTCAGGATACAGTGCGGTGTTGTATAAGTTGAGATGTGAGGCTGACAACCCAGAACATAATCCTTCGGCAGTTTATGAAGCCAGAATGACGGGGATATGGAGGAATGCTAGACTCGGGGGTTCGGTGAATCGATGATGAGGTTCTAGTACTATGATATGAAATCGGGTTCCTGTTCCGAGTGAAGGTTGGATAAGAACAAAGTGTTGATGTTGTTCAGGTACAGTTCCAGATGAGAAGAATCAGAAAGTAGAAAGTGGGCAAACTGCTGGCTTTGAATGACTTCGGACAAGCTTTTCTTGTTAGTACCAAACTTCTTCCATATATACCATTGTTCCCTTTTTTACTAAAAATTGAAATTTTTTTCTTTTTCTTTTTCTTTTTCTTTTCTTTTCTTTTTAGTTGATTCTAGGAGGTTCCCACACCAATACAAGGTACCAATTATTTCTGGTCTGGCCACCCTAAAGCTCCGTCACTTCGATGGGGTCCAAGTGGGGCACGGCAGAAAAGCGTCATTGTGGATCTTACCATACGGTTACCATACTTTTCAATACGGCGGACGGAGTACCCTCGGTGCAAAAATAGCAAAGGATGGAAGGGCCTTCGCTTGCTCATGGCGTAGAAATTTCCCTGGGAGGGTATCAAACGTCGAATTTCAGCAGTATTGCGGTTGTCCACAAGGTAGTCCCTTATTGGCAGCTTGTGTGTTGAAATTACATCAGTCTTAACCATATACCTTATTCTAGAATAAGGTGGATTTTAGAATGTCCACTGGACATACTCGGCTGTCTTCAATCCCCAGATTCTAGAAACAGATCACGCAATCTCATGAAGAATAGTTACGCAAGATCGGGGATCAGTGATCTGGCTACTAGTCCGGTTACACTGCTCTCGTTTTCCCTCTAAGAAAGTGAGTCGGAGCAAGACCCCGACACCAACAACAAAGACTATGAGCATGTGAGGCCGACTGAGGGTTTGTTCCGCGGAGTCTAGTCTCCTCCGGCAGGGTAGTATGTCGCAAGCACTTGCAGCTTTTGCCTCTTTGCGCTCACATCATTTGACAACATACCGTAAAGGAATGACAAGGACTACACTAATGTACAAAGGATATAAAGATGTTCAACAAATGACGCTGCAGGATGCGTCCCTCGAAGCCCGTGCGCAGTGACTCACCTGAAGATTTGGGATCTCTAGTTGTTAATCCCCGGGACCGTCAAACCCTACCGGACTTGGATGTGATTCCCAGAAAGCATGCGCAATTCGGCATCCCTACTCCATACCTCGACTGTACACGAAGCGCTTTGACAGGTGGGGTTCGGCCGATAAAACCTCCTGACCATTCTTGAAGGTGTACCGAATTAACCCATGCCAAACTGGTAGACAATGCTGTCATGTCTCGTAGTCTCCAAGTCTTGCAACCAAGGCTCGCCATGCTGACTCATGTTCTAGACAGTGGACGACAAGTTCATCATTACAACAGCTCATTGGCTTGTTCCATACTTAGAAGATTGTAAGACACCAGTGCCACGACAACCACCATATAGATCGAGTTCTGGATCCATTGTCCAGTAACTTCCAGCAATAGCAATTGAACAAAGAGAGACAGGCTACGACAAGATAATAATTTGGGGTCCATGAACAAATCATCAGCCACCACAACATCCAGCGAAACAAACATACGATTGAGTCAGCAGGCGGTCCGGTTACCCGTTGCGCCTGATTCCCAGGGCGGCGCTATTTTGGCCCTTTTTGGCAGGTCAGCTGCCGTCATGGAACCATCACGTGGCGTCATGAAAAGATCTGAGGCCCGGCGCGCTTAGGCGGTCTGGCGTAAGTCTTGCTCATACAACCGGTGACCGGCACCGGTACACGGGTATACCGTACAATACGGCAAGCGGTTACGGCGCTAGTGGGAGATCCTCTGGAACTGTGATGCCGCTTTTCCGTTTTTTGCAAGATGGAGGGGCACAGTACCACCTGGAAGCTGACACTAAAATCCACCGAACCGGAAGCACGCCGCTCGGAAAAGGGACCGGCCAGAAAAAAAATTTTTTCTATACAACATTTTTTATTTTTTATTTTATTCTGTTTAAATTAGGTAGGCTCATGCGGTTGCAACATGGTCCGGCCCCACTACTCGCGGGAGAAAAAAGACAAAAAAATCTTTCTACACAGTAAGACTCATCTTGAAAGTTCATACCCCTTCTCTTTCCACGGGTAAAAATATCAGTTTCCGGGGGATACCCTCAGGTCCCAGGAGGACCTTGGACTTCGTCCTGAGATGGGTGATTTTGTTTGATACTGCGTAGTGGTCAGAGCGCGGGTCTCCTTGTGATTGCCCATATCTGGGCAAGCCTTAGCATATTGTGCCCTACAGGATCGGCGGTAGAAGGCACAATTTCGGAAAATTCCTGGACGCTCAGCTGCCCCTCGTTGGTCCGAATTTCTTGTTCATTTCCCCCCGCACTGCAGGAATTGAGCGTTTGCGGGGCATTGCATCATCGCTTGCTGGTGGTTTTGCGCAATGCTTCTTGGCTGGTGAATCATAAGATGAGAGATAATGGGGGGGGATTGAATTGTGGTCAATTCGTAGTTCGATAGCGGTCTGAAGAAGAAAGACGAGATTGACGAGGATCAGTTGATGTGCAACACATCACAACACTCGATATCGTTCTAGACGCAACCTTGCTGTCAGGGAGTGTGCCCTGTGCGTTGGTGGTCAACAGGGGAAAAGCACGTTTTCTGACGAATGGCTACCGCTTGCGCCATACTTATTACCTAACAGTTTCACCACCGCCACCGCCCATTGGAAGTCCTCATCCATGACTAAGGGACCTTATGCGCTTGGATTGATGATCAATCTGAAGATCTAAGGCGACATCATGTCTTGTTTCGCCATGTCTGTTGGTCGGCCCCCCGATGTGAGAGTTTCGGCACGAGTATGCTGGCGGATGGCCGACTCGATCATGCCATGAGAGGTCGGATGCCCATACGGCAACTATCTCAAGCTCTCCGACAGACCCAGTTCTCCCCGCAATGAGTACCTCGATGTTAATTAAGTCTACCCGGAGATTTACTATTCATACCATAGGAGGGGAATGGTTTGTTTCAGCGACCCTATTGGTTTCTGTGAGGGCCTCCTCCTATCATTCTATACCCCTTGTATGGATCTTGGCTATAATTGTCGGTATAGACCATTGCGCCCCTCCCTACACGAGCGCTGACTCGAGCGGCGCGTAATTGTTGGTTTCGAGCAGGCTTGGCAGGTATAAATCCACTTCCAACTGGGTTGATTTCCGGTTTACATATGGGGATCTACTCCGTAATCTCATATTGTCGGAATCTTACGCCAATCCCGACCCAATGCCCTGCGTACTCTATGCGGGACTGAGGCGGAAAGCGAAATCACCTCCAGCCTGGACTCTGTAGACAGCGTCAAATTGAGGGATTAATCTGCAGGACTTGAACACGTATTCACAATTGCGGTATTTATTGTGTACTAACACCATACGGAGTACACCTGCTAATATCAGATGCGGATGTATCTCCAGGGGGCCATTGCCTTGAGATCGCCGCTCGTCGTTAAAGGTTCCTTGCAAGTAAGCGACATAAAATTCCCGAGGGCGACACATGGTTGATCCGTCGGCGCTTTCCGCTGGAAAGCGAAACCTTATTGTCGACGCCTTCCTCCGTTTCCACGGACTATTCCCGGCCTTCTTCGACGGTTAGCGTAGGGCGCTCCGTTTCCATATTTCCTGTGTCACTAGCGCCTCAGAGTTTTCTCTCCCCTGATCAGATCGGGTTGGCATAGTGGCCGGACGCGCCCCGCTGATTGGTTGGATAATCGACGCTGTACGCCTCTCGAAGAACATTTCGGCTTGTACCGATAGTTTGCTCAACTACCAACTCCCTCGCCTGGTTAGATACTTTGTATTCCAACGTTTGCGGCTTAGTTGGTGGAGTGTATGGGCGTGAGAAGCGAGCTGGTATTGAAGTGACAGTTACGGACCTGTGTACGGAGTACGCACCGCCCTTTTCTGGGCTTTTTAGGGGACTTCAATTGCGCCATCTGTTGATTGGATTTATTACCTAATATGACTAACAGGCGGTATGGTACTCTGTCTAGACACCTTAGGCTAAAAAAGGCCTTAATCTATCGGAGTCTCCTACCTTGCAGTTGTAACGTGCCATGCTTGTCAGTCACCTGCTAATTCAGGTGTCGACGATCAGATTATCTTTGGCGTAGTCTCTGTCGGACTGCCGTCCCGACGTGTATACCACTACTAGCCGGATACCACTTCCGATGTCGCACGACCCAGGATATCATTTCCTGTTACACTTCATGGATCCTGTTCTAGATGTACTACTCCGGGATACCTCTCCGACATCAGGTATTCATCGGGCCGCGAATCTATTTCATGTGTTGTAGATGCCAATTCACAGCATACTGCTGTTTTCCGATGTATGTGCGACTGCCGCGTCACTAAGGATGACGTTCTCCGCTGCGGACAATACAAGTATATGGGCTTGGCGTACATACATGCAACTGGCCATGAGCAATGCTGCTCCGCTTGAACCCCTTACAGAGATGGATGCGCGGACATAGCTCCAACGTATCAAGACAACTACGTACTAGTATCGATCATGCAAGTCATGGCCCAGGGTCTATGAGCTCGGTCGAGTCAATCAAATACTCGATGTTGTGTTGCCGAGGCTCTTCAATTGGCGCGGCGGCTGTACGTCGCCTATACTCCTGATTCAATGATGGTTGGCTACAAGCGCCGAAGCTTAATGCACGTCTATACCGATGGATACTACGTTACCTTTCCCACATGGCGGGCGGAATCGCCGCATTGTGATCCACCGGTGGAGTCACATCTAGACAGGCACGGTTGTAAATGCTCGTTTTGACTGACGCTGTCCAAGTACGAATCTAAAGCACGTGTTGATGCTGTAGAACTGGGTTGAGTATTTTATCTGGCCGTAGCAATTTGACCGTCCAGAGACTTGATCTATTGATTTATGTAACTAACGATCTAGAACGTTTCGTTGCTCTTGGCCGTAATCTTTGACATTGCACGAACATCTCTATACATCTGATTAAGCAGTAGGGATCCAGAGTATACTAATTATGTTACCTGGGTAAATATAGTTGCTTTTGGTGCAATTACAGATAATTGCAATGTACCAAAATTATTTTGACTTGATAAAAGTAGTCAAGCAATGACAGTGACCATTGGACATATCTAGATGCTCACTAGAGTGCAAGGCAACTGAGGAGTCGACCGTTAATTCCTCTCCACTGGCGCAATTGCCTCCGGATATCCTACCCAGTCAAAGGTTCCCGACGACTTGGTCAACCACACATCTCCTGGGCTATAAGCACCTTGAGGGGCGCCATCCCCAAATAGCGTTCCGCTGAGGAAAGTATGCGGGAATCCTGGGTCAAACGTATACGCCGATTCGATCTTCTCAATCTCCTCAGTTGTCAACGTAATTCCAACCGCCGGCATCACCCCCTTGATATGCTCCACTTTCCTAGCACCGACGATGGGAAACACATAGGGTGTCTTCTGAAGAACATAAGCCAGAGCGACTTGCAGAAGCTCTACTCCTTTCGCATTGGCGACATTTTCAATCACACGGGAAACTTTCTTATCGTGTTCAGACAAAGGGATGAAATTCCGACCGTCGTTCCTCTTCTCGCGTTCTTTATATCCCTCCTCAGTTTGGAAGCGACCTTGATTCAGCACTCCATACGGACATAGGCCCATTCCTTCATCGCGGCACATGGGTATGATATCTCGTTCAAAATCGCGCATCGCTGCATTCCACATCCCCTGATACACGGTGAATTGCCGCAGGCCATGGTCGCGAGCGTACTGGTTGGCTTTCGCGACCACCCAGGCGGGGGTATCAGAGATACCCAGGTACAAGACCTTCCCCGAGACAACAAGATCATTCAGGCTGTGCATTAGCTCCGGGATCGAAACGGTGTAGTCCCACCAGTGCACGTAGAACAAGTCGATATAGGTGGTCTGAAGTTTGCGCAGCGACGCCTCGAGCGAGACACGCATTGACTTGGTTCCGTTCCCACCATAGTTGGCTTGGATCTTGTCCTTGTGATGACCTTGCCACGCGGTGGTGTATTTGGTTGCAATGACCATCTGATCCCTGTTTTGCCTGGCGGCAAGCCATTCACCCAGCCATATCTCGGATTGCTCTTCTCGGTATGCGTTAGCGGTATCGATGAAGTTCCCGCCCTGACTGACGAAATAGTCCAGGATCTCAAACGCGGCGTCCTTGCTGCATTCTCCGTATCGCTCTTTTCCTGCCGTGCCGAAGGTCATGGCACCTAGACATAGCGGAGAGACTCTGACGGACGCCGAGGGGGCGAGCTGTCGGTAGCGAGTGAGATGTGGTTGGGAAGACATGACGAAATGATGGGTTCTTCTTGGATGAACGGTTGTATAGGTTGAAATGACAAACTACTGGTGTATGGCTAATATATATATGGCCTTGAGGCAGGCATAGGCACAGGCGCAGTGATATCATGTACGAGGTTTTAATGATATATGTCCGCTAACTCCGCCGGAAACAACGTCTATCCAACTCCACATGATCTATATGCAATGGTTTGATGATATCCAAACACTGGATTTCCATCTATTTACTGCTACTTCGTAGATTTATTAGGGTTTCGGAATGCGATATGCGAGCTGCTAACGATTCTCCACACGGACCACCGGACATAACGGAATTAACAAGGTCGATGAAATTGGATGTGAAGCCCATGTTATCAAATTTGCATGGTTCCACAATTCAATACCAGAGGTAAAGCAAAAAAGAGAAGGGAAAAAAGTAAAAAGAAAAACATACAACAGGAGGGATTCGCTGGTGGTCACCCACCCAACTACTAACCTCCGGGCGTGTGGCTTAAACGCGGCCAGAAGTCGGGTGGCGGCTGCTCGGGTGAGCTAGCGGGTGAGCCGCTTTAACGTCGCGCGACCTTGGGTCCAGGAGGAAACAAAATGCAACCATACACTAATAAGCGACAATTTTCGGACTCGTAACTCCAGATTTTTTTTTTTTTTTCTTATTCCGTTTTCCAGGCGCCTTGTTGTTATAGCAAATTGTATCACTATCTTAGCCACTCCCATGTTTGGTTTCCAACTTTTCTCCCGATCAATTTCCTGTCCCCTAGCTCCTTTTTGTCTCGATCGACCACCTAGTGCATATGATAGATCCCCGTATCGATTGACCATTGCTTTTCTCAGGTCTCTCTGGTGTGTTTCCTACTGATTACACTTAATGCCCATAGATCTCAATTGGATTAAGATCAGGTGAATAAGGCGGCCATACCATTACCTGAATACCTATATCTCTGAGTATATGGCGTACAATATAGGATGTATGGACAGAGGCATTATCTTACAAAAATATCTCCAGGTCGAACAAAATTCTGGTAAAAAGGCTTGGTATAAATCACTAATGATCTGTCCCGTAACTCCCCCTCTTGAAGAGTTAGGATCACCATCTAGAGGAACAGGACCAGTTCTATATTGCTCCCCAAACGCAGCCCAGAACATCTACTTAACGCCTTTACCACCCCGTACAAGGTGTAGATCATGTTTTTGAAGCTGTTCCCGAGGCCGAAGCCAGGTCCAGATTGGTCGTTTACCAACACCTCGTTCTACTGTACACTCATTACTTCATTTAACACGGGCCCAATCCTCAGGCGTGTAAAATTCATACTTGCTAGGGCCATCTCCATCTAAGCTGCCTTGCAGCTAGCTTTAGTATCAACCCCCGAAGGACAACCAGGCATGACACTAATACTACTAGCATGATCACTCCCCCGGAACGCAGCAATCGACCCAGAACCAACAGTAACATGCTTCGAATCGTCATAAATCTGCACCTCCGCTCCCCAAGTCGACGACAAATCCGGATAGTAGCACTGCATATCACGGTCCATCTGCTGGTAATCAGAGCCAGTGTTGAGCGTGTAATGAGAAGCTTCATCCTCCCAGCAGCTCGTGAAATCAAGACCACCATTCGAAAACCTCTCGTCGTTATACGCCTCCCTCTTGTGGATATCGCTACCGTTGTCACTTTTATGGCCAAACCCGAATGACATCACCATATGTGTGTCGTGAGTGCCTGTTACCGTCATGTGCATCCCCGTATCCTGGTGGTTATAGAAATGAAAAACAGGCCACAGCGCACCCTCGGTCAGATTCAGACCACGTAATCTGGGATGGTCATGTCTCATAAACCCATCGTGTGTGACGGGCACCTGGAGGGCGTGACTGAGATGGTCACTAAGCTCTGCGACATCCGCTTCCAGGACAGCAAGGCAGTCCTCTCGCTTCCAAGCAGGCTGCGTCCCATACCAGTTGATCTTCTCCGCGACGGCTTTCAAGCCCTTGGCGGAGGTGTATCCAGCCCCGATGAAAGTCGCGGCGGTGGACATGGCGCCCCAGATGCATAATGCGGCATTACCAGCACTATTGCTGAACTCACTGCAGCTAGACGCGAGACCGTAGAGGGCAAAAATTTGATTTCCGGTCCAGAGGATTGCTCCTAGGGTCCAGAGGATTCCTCTTTTTGGCGATGGGGTTGCGTCGTAGTTCTCGACGGAGATTTTCTGCTGTTCGAGATACAGGAGGAATTGGCGCTCCTTGCCGAGTTGGATGGTTAGGTATATGATGAGGATAAACCCGGCGAGCATCAGGGCTGCGAGGACAAAGAGTGCTTTGGTGGCATTTCGTAAACGTTTGTTTTCTTGACGAGAGAAAGGAGCTAGGAGTTTCTCGGCTGGGTTTAGGAAGCTTTCAAAATGCATGCAGTTTGAGAGGCAACCAGACTGCCGCGCATGCTCAAAAAGATGATCGATTTGGAGATTCAATCGGAAGCTGCACAGTTCCCTGAATTAAGAACAATCCAAAAGTATATTGGCTTCCGGAGATTGCCTTGGCAAATGCTCGACTGTAGTCCATGCAATTTAATTAAATTTGCTTTATAGACCAACTTTTCAGTCCTTGGGGGTTCCATACGTACTCCATAGACTCCAGTACTCATGGTCATAGCTTCAGCAGCTATGACCTCAACCTTAGAAGTGGATCTAACTTGTATTGAGGTTACATTGGAGAAAAATACCGCATCGTGGGGTTAAGGCTGCCAGCCTTGCCGAGTGCCGACTGTCATGTCTTCCAAGATGAAATCCAAATCACCTAGCAGAGCATTACTCATCCTGGTCTGTCATTCTCGAGTCTGCAAATTAACCAGAAGCATAGCAGTTAATATCTCCTTTCTTTGGACGTTTTGGCCCTCGCCGACTGATTTAATCAGAAATCCATGTTCTCCAGTAAGTAGCAGCATACCCCCCATAATAAAGACCACAACTTACATGGGCAGTCCTGTATAAAACGCTCCACCACCGCCAGGTAGAGGGCATTCCCCGCGGTTTATCCCGTTCCACAATTCTCCAAGCCTTCCACCAGCATCAGCTAATGATCCGCGCCATATACCCTGGATCTCATATCACAGCGACCCACCCTATCGATTCCGGCACAACAGCTTTCTCAGTCCGCAACCCAGAGTCTGACGTTGTTACCAAGTGCTCCTTGACAAGCCTGGGCGATGGTCTTGGCGCTGAGATTGAGGTTGGGCTGGGGATGAAAATTACGTGTCAGTGGACCATCCATTCACGGAATGAAGATGAAGATTCAAAAATCAGTAGTAGTATTGCCAAACAGACGGTGGAAAACACGACCACGACTAGGCGAAGGATGACTTTGGACTCGCAGGCGCTGAGCGATATGTACTTGGTCGAAGAGACCACGTTCATATTGTTAAAACCGTTTGATCGATGGGCGCAGACTAACAGAGATCGAAGCAAGGCGTTGGAGCATATCTTGGTTCTGCTTGGAAGACTGGAGAGTGGAGAAACAGAAATCTAAATGTTGCATTATTCACAGCCAGTATAGGCATCCGCATGTTGCGGCCAAGGACGACTTCTATCCTAAGCAGTACGCTCACTACACTGGGCTTATTGTCCGCGGAAGTGCTCTTCCCATTGTGTCGTATGTTTACTCTACGCCTAATGTTGAAGATATGGCGCCGTACTTGATCACCTGACGCACGTCCCCACCTGCCGCACGGATTTCTATATACACCAACTTTTTGACTTCAACCTCAAACCACCACAACTCCGTCAATATGGGCTCAAGTGATGAGGCACTTGTCTTTTAAGAATTACTAGATCCAGAGGAACCGTTTAAAAATGTGGAAGTGGCGAAAAGGTTTGGTGTTGATTATACAACTCTCTCAAGGCAGGCCCCTCACAGACAATTGACTGGCTCCTTAGTACAGCTGCTGGGGTTGAAGAGTTCAGCCGCATCATGTAAGACACATCCTTCTTTAAGGGTATATGCCCGAACTGGGCACATTCAAGCACTAAATTGTTGACTGGGGACGGAATTTTCACTGCGGGACGCAAGAGGGATCTATGAAAGATATCATAAATACTTGGTGTATTGAGTTACCTCTGCTAGTATATACCTGCAATCTTACGTATATTCCCCCAACAATCACTGCGCTAATTTATTAATGTAAAGAACTCAGAGGAAGAGCTTGATGGAGGTCTTCAGTATAGGAATGCAATATCAACTGCAGGCCGACCATCATATAGATCAGAGGAGCTTATAGAATGACGACGTTGGAGGTAGCTATAGTCTCCCTGATAACAGCATTAGCAGTGCTAAGAATGCCCCCGGTGTATTCTGCTGCTGCGAGGATAATTACCGAAGGATTTCGCAAGTCGGAAGTATTGATTGTGATCCAAAAGGCGGGCATCCCATACCGCACGATAATCCCTCGAATTTCGGAACGCATCATTAACTTTTGAGCGAAAGATCCCGGGACACACGTTCCGATGGTTACAGTATTTCGTTAAATCTCCCTCCCCCTATCAATTGCATAAACGAGGTTCGCACAGAGCAAAACTTCTTAATTTTGGGTCTTTCTCCATTTCTGGTAGCCTTCGATCAACAGGTATCAAAGAACGCGAAGTCTTTCCCAAAAGGTCCACGGCTTTCCCCTAGATAAGCGCAGATGAAAAATGTCGACGCGAAGGTTATCTCCTGCAACCACACATCAGATTCCCTCCACCGTTGTACCTCAAAGGAGACGAAAAACTTCTAGAGCCTGCTATGCTTGTCGGGAAAGAAAAAAAAAATAGAATGCAAGCTTGACTTGAACAGAGCGCTGCTGACTCCTGCACGATGGGAAGTGTACTGGTAGTATGCCATGCCAGAGATGTCATAATCATAAGATCGATTGCCGAGTGAACAAAGACACAGATGAACGACGCAAAATGGTTCTTAAAGACAACATGGAGTCTCTCGAGCGAACCAAAAGTCTGCTGGATGAACTTGCGCTCTGTGTAGCAGGCACTGTGAAAAGCATGTGATGCAAATAGAGCATATAGCTGTTCTCATCTACCGAGGATCTGTTATCGAACGCAAACAAAGTACATGTGGACAGAGTAGTCCAGAAAGAATAAACCAGAGACAGCCATATTGTGTATTTGCTTCCGGAGCAACCGTAGGATACACTCGATACTAGAAAAAGGCGGCCAGTGCGTTGCAGGCTATTTTGTGCTGACGGTGCCTCCGATAAAAGGTGGTGCTTTGATTCTACAGTTCATACAAGAGCGCCAGATCTCGGATGTCAGACGAGCGAATTGATGAGACCATGGTCGTACGACTTCTCGACCCACGACCGCCAACTGGCGCCCACTGTAAAGGTGAGACCTTTCGGATCATCTATCTACACTCCTGAGACCTCATCGGTCTACCGACTAGCTATAATGATCAGAAAAGTCTCTTATGACTTTCCTTAATTAGTTGTCCATCTCTTCTAATATTTGGCTGCTACAATGTCTTCTACTCTATTTGGATTCGTCATCCTATGATATTCTGCCTTGCATGTTCGTCTTTGATAAGGTACGCTAGACAAGGGTCTGTAACAGTGACACATAAATAACTATATAATATGAATTTAATATATAGAATTGGTAGACATATAGGGATTTGAGAATTAATCTTAAAGGTTTTATATTATGCCTAAACAGGTATAGTGTTGTGTAGTCAGCCGCGTCTTCCCTAGTGGGTTTTAACGTGAATATATTGTTAAACAAGGGTAGGGAAGTAGGTGATGTTGGTGATTTTTATGAGATCCTTCCCTCTTTCAGGGACCTATATTGATGCTAAACCTTCGGTAATACAAAAGATGTGCGGCGAGGCTATCAGCAGAGGGTATCATGAATGCATCCGAGTGTGCTATAATCGTGGACAGGAATGCTCACTCGCGACATGAAAGTTCTATACTGAGTGAGAAATTTCAGCCTTAAAGACTTGGTTTGCTGTCAACAGTGACGGCTTGCTCAAGTTCCCATTGCCCATCGTACCCATGGTAAGCCGTACTTTTTGTCACCTGCTGAAAGAAAGATTTCTATAATATCCAACTCACCTTGACCCTCTCTATAGAGAATAGTAAGAGGGCCGGGCGTAATTTATTCGTATTATATTTAAGACAGGAATATCGTTTCAGCAGGGATCAAGATAGAGTGCCTTTGCCGCAAGACTGACATATGTTTAACGGGATTGCCATCTGGTAAAAAATGCGGACGTGTTCGTTAACTCGATTTAGTCCGCCGTACTAAGCCAGGAATCCGTATTCTTGTCCAATTTTTTGCACAAAACAGTTTATTAATGCCCAAACAACTTACAAAATCCAACAACTGGGTATATTATGTAGTAGTTGCCTGGATACCGTTCAACTAATATATAGGAAGAGGCTTTTTTCATTCTTTTGCGAGCTGTTAGCAACATCTAGCATTTTATATAGTATCAGCGAATTTATAGAGGAGAATATAAGTCAGCACTCACACCTCTTCTTGGTTTGCTCCGACTGCGGTTCGTGAGTTTCCAACAACAACAACAACTCCGACCCACCTCTTCTTTCTCCACTTCGACATACCCCGTGTGTCCGGAAAGCATGGATATCTTTAGTGTACCTCGAGGTCAACAAGCACCGTCAGAAGTTCTCGATTCCAAGTCAATTTTCAAAGAGATGCCGGACTTGGCAACCAATCTGCTAATGTTGACCGGTTACGCGTCTCTCGCCAAACTATACACAATCGCATTTAGCCAGATCCACAATGTCCTCAAACGACTACCGGAATCTGTCTCCTCCTCTCGCCATACACCATCTCACGACCTAGGGGAAGCAGAGCTACTACAACCAGGGGAGCTCTTAGCACCTACTAGTAATTTTGAAGCTTGCAGTAGAGTTTATATAACCGTGCAAATGCTTCTGGACGAGTTTCAGGCAGTGGAGGATATTGTTTCATTCACTAATCTGCATGACCCTGAGACTTCGCCTTTTGAGAAAGAAAACAATTCACCCGAAGAGGCACAGCAACAGCAGCCGCTCGGGCCGGATCTCAAATCCCATCTAGGCGGGCTGACTCGACAAATAGAAATGGTCAGGGCAGGTTTAAAGGAAGATATATCTCGCACATTGAGAATTGGCAGCCAAAGAGAGTTGAGCAGCGTACTACAGTATGGCCATTATCTTAAGGTATTGCTTCGTGAAAGGATGGGCTTATAGAAGAGATATCCTACCAGACAAACCACAGGCCTCCACTTTAGTAGTTAATAGCAGCATTGTTGTTTATGAGGTAGTTGTCTTACAATGATACTCGAAATCACTTTGGCCGATGGCATGATTTAAGCACTCTTTTCCGACCTCTCTATGGTTCCAATGACCTTGGTGCAGCGCGTAATCAAGCTGCCAGCTGCCCTATGTACGGAGTACTATGGAAACTTTACCAGGTTGGAAAGAATCTGCACATGTGGAGACTTCATGATCTTCTTGTTCGAAGCTCCATGGATTCTCCGGGCATACGTAGTAAGTCCCCACTATGCTCCGCGGACTTTCGATGAAGTCTCCGGGTGACCTCCATGGACCCTGCAATTGATACCATACCCATATCCGAAAGATTTTTTCATATACAGTGAGAAGGTCGTTTATTAAAAAGGTCTATCTGCTCATGCTTTTCTGAACATTGTCATGCAGAGTGTAAAGTAGTCGATAAACCTTCTGAATATGGGCCAAATCCAAACTCCTACCGCTTCCAGCAGCTCTGAACACACGTCAGTCACATACCGTTTCTTCTATTTATTTTTCCACAGAGATGCGTACTGACAAAACAATAGATTCCGAGCATGGCTGACGGTAATAGGAGCCTTCTTCACTTTCTTTTGCAGTGTTGGATTTATCAATGCCTTTGGTGTTTTCCAGGACTACTATCAATCACATCAACTGAGTAGCTACTCTAGCTTCGACATCTCATGGATCGGTTCCTTCTCTACTTTTGCGCTCTTTTCTGGTGCTCCTATCGCTGGTGTTTTGGTTGATCGTGTTGGACCGACAGTATGTAAAACCACCCACGCATTTATCCTCCGAAAACAGATAAAACAGACGGCTAAAGGAGATGGACGCTAGGTACTTCTCATATTCGGCGGCCTGGCAATGCTTGTGGCTGTCTTCATGACTTCACTTTGTCAGCAGTATTATCAATTCTTTCTTGCGCAAGCCGTGCTTCTGGGCGCCAGTATGTCTTGTCTCTTCTGTCCGGCGATCGCGACGGTCTCTCGGTATTTTCACAAAAACAAAGGGCTAGCCATGGGGGTGACAGTGGGAGGATCGTCCGCCGGGGGTGTGGTCTGGCCGATTGTGCTGAATGAGCTCCTTAATAAGGATGGTGTGACCTTTGGCTGGACGATTCGCATCGTCGGGTTTATTATGCTCCCACTCCTCGTTCTCGCGGTCTTGACCGTCACCCCACCAGCGAAGAAAGCCAACGATGATCACCATCATCATATGTTGACTGACGAAGAGGAAAGGAATAAAAGACACGAGGTAGATGGAACTCACGAGATCCTACAAGAGGAAGCCAATGCACACAAACAGGGTCTCCTTTCGCTTCTTAAAAACACCACCTTCATGGTGCTCTGCTTGGGGCTTTCCATTTCATATCTGGGTATGTTCAGTCCATTCTTCTATGCAACCTCCTACGCGGAGAGCCTGGGCCATTCCACCAGTTTCGCGTTTTACTTAGTTTCTATTATCAATGCCGCATCCCTCTTTGGCAGAATTCTGCCGGGGATTCTGGCAGATCGCTATGGGCATTTCAATCTCTGTGGTACAGCAGCTCTGCTATCTGGTGCCACTGCGCTTTGCTGGACCGCAGCAAAGAGCTCCGGGGGGCTTGTTGTATGGTGTCTAGCATATGGACTTACGTCCGGTGTACGCATCCCCTCTCCCCCAAACCATAAAGCTTCGAATTTTGCTAATCCTAACTCGCAGGCTATTATGAGTCTGCAATCCGCTTGTGCAGCTCACCTGGCACCACACGAGCTCCATGGTACAGCAGTAGGACTTCTCATGGGATCAGTTGCTTTGACGTGAGTTTCGCTGCTTCTCCTCTTCTACCTGTAATTCCTTCTTTAAACTGTTCGATTGCTAAATTACACCCATTTCTAAAACCACAGAGCTTTGTTCGGTACTCCCATTAGTGGCCAGCTGGTCGAATCTTACGGATATCTTGCCTTGTCAATGTATGCCGGGGCATCCCTTGTTGTGGGCAGCATTCTCATCTTTGTGGCGCGGTTCAAAATGGAGAGGAGAGTATTTGCACGGCAATGATTTTTCTTCGCCCCCCTCAGACAAGTCCAGCTCAGAACTCAAATGCTTCCCAACTGTTTTAGTTGCCTTTCTGCCGCCTTTTCCTTAGGGCCAAAAAGTCTAATGACCCTGGAAAGAGACTGTTCAGCCGGCCCCCCTCTCTTTCTCTCCCATTCTTCTTTTTGTCTTCTTATCTTGTTTTCTTTCTTCCCTTAAATGTATAGAATATTCAAGGAGATGATCACAACCAGATCCGGTA